AATATTATTATTACGGACGCCGTGACCATTAAAAAAGCCCAAACCTGCAGTAAGCTCTCTTATTGAGGACCCGGTTTGCTGTAATGGAAGAGTGGACACCAAATGCACGGTTAGTGTGATTAGCTGCAGTCCCAGCGGCTCAACGTTCACTTCAGTGCTAAAGCAAATGGCGGCCCTTGCTTTGTTCTGTTCTCTCCGAACTGAACAGCGGGAAGTGGTGCAGAAGGTTCTACACCAAACTGCCAGCTTCTTGCTCTAAATACGATTCAGCAGAGCAGCTAGATTTGCGATTTTGAATCCTCCATTATTTATCAGCTCTTCCAAATCGGGCAGAATTCAGCTATGCACACTTTTCTGGTCTATTTGTATCCATCGCGTGCTACTCTCTCTTTCTCTCCCTCTCCATCAAGTTCGGGGGTTGACGTTAATACGCCAAAAACTGCTCCATTAATTGTCCTCACATTCACATTGCGTTTCTCCCCTCGAGACAATTTATCCAACTCCCAACAAATCTGCGAATTTCACTCAGCTCAAACAGTTTAACCAAGTCAAAGCTTTTACTCCTTTTCCAAGAATTCAATTAACGAGAATCAAAACCTGTGTCGCTATAGTCTTTTCATTTCTGTGATCATTACAAGTCTCATTTTTATTTTAGTCTAAAGGAAACTTACTAGTACTCTCAATGCCTCCATCTATTACTCATTTTATAGAAACCAATAACATCTTTCTAGACTGTTCATCTTCCTTTCTTTCGCAACATCTATTTTCTTTTCCTTATTGCTACTGGTTTGACATTTAGATTATCCAATCCCTCTGTCCATGATTAGCATCGTGATTTTTAGTGGTAGATAAGTTCTAGTCCATTGCATCTCTTGCCCTTGGTGCTTTCAGACTACCCGATACCAACAGGAGGCGTTAGCAGCGCAGGAATGATGTTGTCAATGCCGAAAAGCAATGCTTCCAGTTCCTCGGTTACAGCGAAATCTGGTCCAGATTCGGCGGGAGGTGGTGGTGGCACCGGGACAGCTGGTGGAGGCGGACCGGGCAGTACGGGTCCCTTTCTCGCTCACCACTCTCAGGCAGGCTCCACTCAACCGCCTTCCGAGCTTGTGCCTTCTTCGACGGGTCTAGAGAAGGCACAGCAACTCAACGTGGCCACCGACATGGCTCTTGTTGTGCGTGCTATG